AAAAATGTGTTTTCCAACTGTAAAAAAAAAAAAAGAATGTGTGGGGGAGTAGCTTCTTGACTTCAGCAAAGATTCTACGAACACATATTGAATCATTTTATCAAGTTGCAGTATTTCTTCTATTTTTTTTTCCCAACACAGAGAGGTCATCACCTCCCATCTGAGAGAGACAGAAACACGGGAAAAAAGAAGTACTTCATTTTCAGTGGTCCATAAGGGTTGTTACAGGAAGCAGGTGTTCAAGTGTGGCAGACTTGGATGCAAACAAATAGGGAAGGGAATATGAGGTTAGACAGAAGGGTAAACACCAAGAAATTGAATATTTATTTCTCAGCCTCATGACACTAATTTCCCCTCCCCCATACCTCTCATTATGATGGATATTCAACATTTGTTAACTTTGCATAGAAGAGAAAAAACAAGATGTTTGTAAAGTCATTGTCCTCTTTATACACTTGGCTACAGAATAGGCTGCACTTTGCCAAACATTTAACATGGAAGAAATAATCTTAACACTTATTCATGGAATATCCTCCAGCCCAGGTGGAAACAATTTCACCTGAGACTCTGAGATGTTTCCTATCCACTCTTGTAAATCCCTTCAAGTCACCTGTCAACTTTTGATGAATTTCATAGGCTTTTTGTAGGCAAGGGATATTCAGAAGTAACCCCCCCCCCCCAGTTCCTTTCTCTGAAATATAGCCTGCAGCACCTGGTACTCATTGGTTAGTACCCTGCTTAGCTCCTAAGATCTAATGGGATATGGTGCCTTTAGGATATTTGGGGCGCTATTTGCAAACAAGTCCTGATAGGTTGTCAAAGCTTTCATGGCTAGAATCACTGGGTTGCTGTGAGTTTTCTGGGCTGTATGGCCATGTTCCAGAAGCATTATCTCCTGATGTCACCCCACTCCCTGGATTCAAATCACCAACCTTTCAGCCAGCAAGTTCAGCAGCTCAGTGGTTTAACCTACTGCACAACCAGAGGGTGGAATAGTCCCAAGTTTAATGTTTGATTTAGTTCTAGAATATACATTTGATATTTACATCTATAAATAAGTATTGCATCTTCTCAAGCTCTCCAAAATGCTGTGGGGAGTCAGGGAGAAGAGGATGTTTTTTGGGGGGTTTTTTTGGTTGTGTCAGGAGTGACTCCTGGTGTGAGAGAATTGGCCGTCTGCAAGGACATTGCCCAGGGAACACCTGGATGATTTGATGTTTTTATCATCCTTGTGGGAGGCTTCTCTCATGTCCCCATATGAGGAGCTGGAACTGATAGAGGGAGCACATCCGCCTCTCCCTGGATTCGAACCTGCGACCTGTCGGTCTTCAGTCCTGCTGGCACAGGGGTTAAACCTACTGTGCCACCGGGGGCTCCAGATAGATAAACAGCTACTAACAAGTTAGACATGTATTTTCTCCACCTTTGCAAAACACTGCTTGTTTCTATTAAAATCTTCTTCAGGGTAAATGAAAAGATAGAATAGTGTTCCCCCCCCCTTTTTTTTTTACCAGGGCCCACTTTTACCAGGACCCATTTGACCAGGGCACACTTTGACCAGTGACCACTTGAACAGGGACCACTTTGATCAGGAACCACTCTACAACATTAGTACCAAAAGGTCAGGGCTGGTCAGCTCTGCAGAAAGGAGTGGAATAAAATAAAATAAAATGGAAGGAGATTCACGGACTGGATTTTCATTCTTATGGCCCACAGGTTGGGAACCACTGAGTTAGAAAAACTTTATGGGCTTCCATTTTTTAAAAGAAATTTTCAAAATTAGCAATTTACTAAAGCAGGAACCTTACAAGGTTGTGGGTATCCAGATATACTTGGGGAGAGGGATTAAGAATTAGCCTTCATATTCAGTAACACATTTGCCTTGGCTTTTCTTAAAAAATCTGTAACATAATATTTGTAACATTGTATATTATATTCTTCTCTAAAAATCAATAAAGTGAAGAACACATGTGCTTAATTCATTAATAGCATTAGTATTTATCAGTTATAAATTGCCAACCCTCAAAGTTACCAATGTTAGCTTTGCAAGTAAGAATCAGATACTGACCAAGCAAGTTAGTTAGTAACTTAGTTTTCAATATCTGGTTACAAGTAATCAGTAAAAAGAAGCAAGTCCTTCCTTTCTTCAATCTTTTACTATCATAATTGCAAATAGGACAGGGAGGGCAAAAGGTCTTAAAGGATAACTAAGCCACATTAGATTATCTTGGTTCACAGATCTAGGTCATTTAATCTGAAAAGAAAAGGATGGACAAGAGATCCAAAACATCCTGATGAGGTTTTTTTTTTCATTTTCATACTTTGAAGTCTCTAAGTCAGATAGACCCCTGGTTGTATAGACAATTGCTTTCAAGTTGGGCATTCTCGTCTTTATTTGCTTAAAAGATTTTTATCCTGCTTTTCAGCCAAAAATAAAAATGAGGCTCTCAAGTGAGCTTACAACATTCAATAATAAGATGGTCCCTTCCTCTCAAGCTTACAATATTAAAGACATTACATCAAAAAGGGACTGGAAGGGAAGAGAAAAAAAAGCAAACTCTTAGTTACAAAGTTCTTAGAATTCCCAGCTAGAAGGTATACAATAGAAAAAAAAAGTTTTTTTTTACTGACTTTGCCTCATGTTTCTTCTGAAAGGACTTTGTCCCACCATTCTAGTCATACGTTTCCAAGATAACAAATGAACATTCCATTATCACAATACAGAGATTTAGCTTGATATTACTAAATATGTCGCATGCACTCCTAATTGCATTACATGTGTTAATTCCTCGAATGCGAAAGACTGATTTGTCTAAAAGGTATCTCTCAAGAAAATTACAAAACAATTTAGAAATAAAAGTAAAAATTATAGTTTCACACTAATGCAATAACACATTAAACTTGTTTATCATTCTTTAATGAAAGTTGGATACCACGATGACTACCATTATTCAATGCTATGGAATCCTGGGATTTGTAGCTTGGTGAAGCACCAGAACTCTTTAACATTAAAAACTATAGCTTCTGTGATTTTGAAGCATTGAACTATAGCCATGAAATGGAATGGTGACTTAACTGGTGAAACTATTACTGAAAATGCATGGCGCTGTAAAACTGTCTAGAAGGCCCCACAAGTTCGAATAAGTACTCTTTAGTCATCATTCAGAGATAATATCACAGTCTACACCAAAAAATGTGGAAAGGCTGAAAAAGCTGCTACAGTAAGTCCTTTGACCATAAGTTGCTTAGGACCGTACAAGTTAGCATTATTATAGGAAGATTTGGAAACAAAGAGGTATTGAGCGCCAAACATTGAGCTGTAATATGCCCTGGCTTTGATGTGATTTTTGTCTCTTTCCATCCTTGTTCATAAACTGGGGCTGGCATGATTTTCAATAGTTACAAAGTCATAAACTGGACTTTTCAACCTGGCAATGCCCCATTTGAAGGGTTTCTGAGGCAACACAGATCCTCGGCTTGGAAATGGAGAACAGCACCTCCCTCAGAGCCAGAGGTGGGCACTGCCTCCCAAGCTGGAAATAAAAGGATAAGTCTTTGACTTTGTTTGTGTTTTTGTGTCTCATTGTGTTGCAACAAGGCATTGACTGTTTGCCGGTATGTTTATACTGTAATCCGTTCTGAGTACCCAAGGGGAGAAGGGCAGAATATAAAGTGTTATTATTATTAAAAACAAACAAACCCTCCATCATTGTAGTTACTGCTAATAACACAGAATCTTAAGCTGGATATTATGAGCTACACAATTAATATGGTTTAAAATAAAATAAGACACTATTTTAATACATGTATTGTCTGATATTTTAAAATATTGTAGAGACAGAAAAATATGAATTAAGTATCTGTTAATATACTTTAAAAGATAACAATTTTAACTGTTTTAAAATGTATTTTTCATAAAATATTTTAATATTTAGTTTTCAATTAAATGCTTGATTTAAAAATAAAATTGTAAATCTTAAAAAAAATTAGCTTTCTAAAAACATAAGTATGCTCTGTTGCTGTGTGCCTTCAAGTTGTTTCCAATTTATAGTGACCCTACCACAGGGGTTTCTTAGCAAGATTTGCTCAGAGTGGGTTTGCCATTGCCTTCCTGTGAAACTGAGAGTATGTGATTTGTCCCAGTTCACCCAGTGGGTTTTTTGCCTCAGCAAGGTTTTGTTCCACAGAATTAAAGTCCTAATGCTCAAACTACGACATCACGCTGGTTCTTGATATGATAGAATGTAAGTTTTCCTGTGCATTTTACTGGTGATGAAATGAAAGGATGTACACACAGAATTCTCAGCTTCCCTTGTGGTTAGGCTTTTAAGGATTTGCGCACCACAAATTGTGATGTGCATATTGTAGCTTCTTTGCAATCTTGTTCTGAGAAAGCAGCATCCAAAATTATGCCATGCCACGCTGCTTGCAAAGAATATGTATCCACTGGCTGCTGACATCTCCTTCACTTCCATGAATAAATTTCCATTTTAACTGTGTGAAAATTATTGTCTGCTCAACATTCTCCAAAATACGTGCCAAATTGGATGGCTTTCCAATTCAGCGTTCAACATTTGTTAAACCATATTCTTTAATTCTAAATTGTCTTATCTTATACAGATTAATTCTGAAAAATACAACACAATCTTAAGAAGTAAACAGTATATTTGGGAATCATAAGTTGTTTTTCTTTTTAATTAAGCTTTAAAGTCCTACAAAGACTATTATTAATATGCTGGTATCTAACCAGGCAAAATAATGATCACAATATATCATTAAATTGAATTAACAGAACGGAAATAATAGGGTTTTTTTAAAAAAGGTTTTGCTTTTTGTGCTATAGAGGCAGACAGCTAAAGGCTAGATGAAGAATTTAGGAAAGGCAGATTTCAATGTGGAATTTTTACTCCATATCCTAATAAGTGAAGGAATGCATGTCTCAAGCATTCATCCAGGTTCCCGATCTTAATTGTGTACACAAAATCATCAATACAAAGAACTGCTATGTAAATTGTTTATTAAAATTCAGGTTCAAATTAAATCAAACACTTTGATAAGTATTGACTTTAACACAATAAGTGTTTACTTGATGAAATCATAATGCAGAATGTTTTTTCTTTCTTTCTTGGATCGATAAACTTAAGAGATTCTCCATCTGTAAAATATAGCTTTATTCATTAGAAAGTGTCTAATAAGTCTCAGCAGAAAACCTCTGAGATCTGACTCTGCCTGTATGCTTTCTGACTTTTCCTGTTTCTCAGACCATCATTACTCATATTTAATCATAAGATAAATCTGTTCAGAGCGATGTAATTTTCATTCTGTCTGTCTCCATCTATATTTTAAAGGTTTATTTTTTCATGTTAGTTTTTCAAAAATAAAAAATGGTCAATCATTTGAAATAAGAGGTTTAAAAAAGAGCATGGGTTCAAACATCAAATTCAGTTCTCAGAGAAATATTAATTATGATTTTAGTTGTACATCTTAACATTTCTCAATGGAAATTCAGAATACACTTCCCATTAGGCAGGCACAATCCAAAATTTAGCAGTGTCAATTGGTGTGTTTTCATAACTTAATGAATCACCATTCTCTCACTAAAAATATTGAAACAAATTATCAAAAGCTTGGCTTGACTATGTGACAGAGCAATGGATGTGAGGAAGTATTTTCTTCTTTTCTGCTTCCCGAAGTCTTTTATTACATGGCAGTTTCACAGCAATATATTCCTGATGTGTTTCAGCTTACTGGACAAACAGAATACTGAAGGCCATTGCAATACAGCACACAGCAACATATGGGCTCTTTCGTTCACCTGGAAGAAGAAAAAAACAAAATATGTTCGCTAACTCTCATGCACAAGCAACTCTGGGATCTTTTGTGTTTCATGCTTTGGTAAGAAGTCAAACAGCATAAAGAGGAAGATGTTACAACAGGTGAATTGATTCAATCAAGAAAGTCACAGCCCTGACTTTGTAAGTCCTGATCAGGACAGTGGATGACTATATATTTTGGGAGTTGCTCATAGGGTTATCATCAGTTGAAGACAACTTGATTGAAAATGACAAAAGTACAGTAATAAAAAGCAATGAAATTAGTAAGAGAAAATGAGAATGACAGCGGACAGGTTCCCCTTTAGTATTCACAAAACATCAGAAAAGGTGCAAAATGTCTATTTCTAAAGTCGGCCCTCCGTATCCAGATTCTGCATCAATGGACTCCATCTGCGGTAAGAGAATATGTCTCCCAGCCACCCTTATGGATAAGGGATTTCATGTGCTCCATGCAGTCATACTGGCCACATGACCTTGGAGGTGTCTACAGATTTCTGAACAAGGGATGCTCAACTTTACACAATGTATATTTCTAAAGGTTCTGTTGACTAACATAGGAAATACCGTTGAGTCCCATTGACCATTGAAGCTATGGAGTACTTCCATCTTGTCCCCCATCCTCCCAACTCTTTAAAATCTCTATGAAGCTGCTAGGGAAGGATGTAAACAAGATCTGGGTTAGGTTGCCACCAGTATGCAGAAGACTGATCAAACTAAATGTGATTAAGGCCTCATCTATACTGACCATATAATCCAGTTTCTGAATGCAGATTATCTGATTTAAACTGGATTATAACAGTCTACACTGCCATACAATCCAGTTTAAAGCATAGATATAATACTTGATCTCAGGAATTTGCATTTACTTTGTTTGGTTTTCTAGTAGTCTACATTATCCTGCTTTTCACTCTGTTGAACAGAAAAGGATAGATTATTATCCTCCTGTCTTTGAAAAAAAGAGAACATTTTAATCCAGAAGATGGCCAAAGTAGAAGGATCAAACATCTACATCCAGGATATTTCATTTTATTAATCTCTGAAATGAAGGTTATTGGGTTCCTAATCATCAAAATAAAAAGTAATCACTTGTCAAAAAAACCTTGTTGTTTACTTTGGCTGAAATCTAGGGTAATTTTGCATGGCTTTACCATGATTTTAACAAGTTACTAATCAGTTAATTGTCTGAATTTCACGTCTCTAACTACCTGGCATAGCTTCTTTTTCTATAAAACAAACACAAATCTCCATCATTGTAGAATTTAGCTCTCTTTTTGTACGTCGGCACCTTTTACACAGAAAAGCTGTTGCCTATTTGTTAGGTAGTGCAAACAGACATTTAATCTGAATGGATGATGGATGCCTCTTTCAAGAAAATTAAGCAAAAAAGCAGTGCACATATGAAAACTGTAAAACTGTAGGAGGTATACTTCCTCAACATTAATTCTAAGCAGATGTAGAATTGCAGACATTAATTCACACAGCTATTTGCAGTTTAATTAAATGTATGCCAGATGATGACAATGTCTTGTAATGTAATTGTGGTGGCCTTTCTTATGGGAAAAGTCAGTGAACTGTTTCTTGCTGTGGAAAGATTTCTTAGTCAGGGTTGGGCAACCAGATTCGCTTGAAAGAATATTGGCATGTATAATCACTTGAACACATCGCCGCTTCAAAAGTTTAGCAATTTTTATTTATTTTTATTACATAGTGAAGGTATTAGAACCTTTCTTCAATTGATTAATTACCATATAAAGTTTTAAATGTTACCAAATGAATTTACCCACCACTTATTCCCTACAATATTTATCAAATACACTCTTCTGTGACATTTTACCACTTTAGAGACTGTCACTGGATATTTATTGAAAGTATTAGATGAGCAATTCATACTCATTAATGGAGGGAGAAGGTTGTATTTATGTTTCACTCACTATCAAATTTTTCAAGACTATAGTGCTAGATCAAAGTGTTATTGGTCCAGCAATATTGATTTTGTAGTTCACTTCACTGAAACTACACTCTCTTACTGGAGTCAGGGCACTTTCTAGATGTATGGCTTGTTTACCTTCTTCCCAATCTTTTCTATCAATGCTGAAATGCCTAGAAAGTGTTTTGTGAACACCCCAGTATTGCTGGGGTTTGGTTACAGAGTGGTCTGTGGATATCAGAATCCATGGATACTCAACTCCCATTACATATAATTGAATGCCCCTTATATAAAATGGCAACATCAAGGTTTACTTTTTTGGATTTTTTTTTAAAAAAACATTTCCAAGCTTTGGGTTGTTGAATCCATTATACAGTGGACCAATTATAGGTAGAAATAGATTCATGGAGGTCCAAATAACAACATTGGTTTCTTTGTAATGTTATTTAGACCTTTTTTATAAGCCATAAGTTACTTTTAAAAGTATATATAAATGGTTTTAACATGTTTCAGTGTATTGACTGATTTATTACACTTTCATTCTATCTAAATTATTTTATGGTTTTAATCTGAAATTCTTTTCAATTGTTCAGATTGTTTTAATTATATATTGATCTGAGATCTCACAGATATGGGTGGAATGTAATATTTCAAACAATCATTTAAAGTCAGTACAGCATCGTTAGAACTTACATTCAGGTAGGTATATTTTAGGATTTCTATCTAGAGAAATGTACTGATGGAGTTTTGGTAAACATGAATCAGTGTAGCACAGTTTTTCTCATACTAGTAACCACAGATTAGGAAAATTGATCAAAGCAATGTGACAGAAAAGAGTTCCATAACAACAAATATTTGGAAATGTCAACATTATCATTAGTAGTTTTATTTATACCCTGCCTTTTTCCTCAAGAGCGCTCAAGGTAGCCAACAGATACAAACTTTAATCAATTTTTAAAAAATCAAATACAAAAACTGAAAACAATTAAACAGCACTGTGTGTGTTAGGTTAAAATACAGTTTAAAAGTATTTTAAAACACACAATCCCCTCAAAAATCCCTCCCACAATCTCCCCAGCAATGTGCCCCTTATCCTTCTCCTAATGCCTGTTGGTAGAGCAAGATCTTGACCTGCTTGCAGAAGGCCAGCAGGGATGGGGCCATCCTGGTCTCTCTTGCGAAGGAGTTGAGGAGCAGCCACTGAAACGACCATCTCCAGTGTTCCCATCAAACATGCTTGAGCATGTTTGGTGGGAACACGGGACCCAGTCTGGTTGTTATCCAATAATTTTAAAAGGCATGTATTGATAAGATTCAAGTTACACAGACATCATCATCATCATCATCATCATCATCATCATCATCATCAGATGTTTATTTGGCACATTGAGGTATGTGATGCTGCTTAACAAGTAAAAACCAAATAATGCTGTCCTAACCTCAGGTTTACAATCTAATTAAGACATGACACAAAAGGAAAAGTGATGGCAGTGTGGAAGAGAATTAAGTCCAGCAGATACTGCCTCCTCTTCTCTCCTTCTGAGGCCACAGGAGTGACAGATGGAATGGATGGAGAACCTTTCATCTGTGAACACCTATTAACAGTACATTTTGTCCAGACATTAAATAATGAACACACATACTTACCAATTCTGGCACACTTCCAGAATATTCCCAATAATCTGAAAGGATATTAAGAGGAATTAGAAAAAAATGTAGTCAAAACTAAATGCAATTTACAGGGGGCTTTCTCTGCTGTGGCATCCTTGCAATGGGAGAGTCTACTCTTAAGGGGCCCAACTGGCACTAGCATTGGTGTCTTTCCAGTGCCAAGTAAAAACATAACTTAAAGCTTTTGGAGTTTAACTAAATCAATCCAAATCTGCATATGTACAAACTTTTAAGATACCTCAAACCATTTAAGTAACTTCAACCATTTTTAAACAATCTTGTAGGATAGTTTAATATGTTTTAGTATATTTACATCACTCTTCTTGAAGATAATTTTAAACGGTGAAAATGTATTGCACATCACCCCGAGATCTTTGAATTCAGGGAGGGCTGAAATATCTTAACTAAAAAATATGAATACTGGCTAAAATCCTGTGACTCAGGACCTTGTGGAATTTTTTAAAAAACCTTATTTGACAAACATCACTCATGATATAAAAAATGGATTCTAAGTCCTCCATGCCATGCAATTTATTTGGAAGACTTTTATCTAAAACCAATTCTCCCACCACCCTGAATAGATTGGATTTGATTTCTACCAAAGACTCTGGATCAAATACAGTACAATTCCCATATCTGCATGGGACACATGCAGATATGGGAATAATAAACAAGCAAGTACATCTATTTCTCTTTCCCCTGCATTTCAAGACATTCACATACCCAGTCTGGTTGTTATCCAATAATTTGGGAGCCAAGGATCTTATGTAGGCACAGGTACATATAAGTAGCAAGATTACTGTCAGTAGACTCTGAAAGTTGAAGATCGCAGACTAAAAGAAAAAAAAAAAGCAATACAAAATAGGAGTCATCATCCAGCCTTTATTACTTATAATTTTATAATTTTAGAATCACTACTGAGTCTTTGAGGTCTATAAAATCAGGAACCATTCCAGTGCATCATTTATGGTTTCCAATAAAGCTGGTCTCATTAGCACTCTATAACCACAAACAAACCTAAAACTTGATAAACATATATAAACTGCAAGTCGCTTCTGATGTGAGAGAATTGCTTGTCTGCAAGGGCGTTGTCCAGGGGACGCCTGGATGTTTTACCATCCTGTGGGTGGCTTCCCTCATGTCCCTGCATGGGAAGCTGGAGCTGACAGATGGGAGCTCACCCTGCTTTCTGGATTCGAACCACTGACCTTTCAATCTGCAGTCCTGCCAGCACAAGGTTTTAACTCATTGTGCCACTGGGAGTTATTGATTAGATTATGTCACACAACCAGCAGCACACTTTTTATGATAAAAATTAATGACATTTTTCCAGATAGAAATCTTATGGGTTCAGGAAGACTTTAGATTTAGTGAATCTCCTTGACACATGTCACTCTCCTTTGGGTATACTCTTACAGCGAAAGGCAAACTGACATAAAAGGAGGAAGGTAGATTTCCTACCAACACTTTTGATGACTATCCTAAATTCAGTGGCCTATTTTTTTTCCCCACAGAAACAAATTTCAGTTACTCATTGTGCTGTATATTGGACAGAATAGGTCTGCTTATGATGACCTCAACCACTCTTCCCTTAATAGCCTCAAAGTAGAGAATGTGCTTTCCATGCAGAAGGTCTTCGATTCAAAATTAAACATTTACAAATCTATCCGTACCACAGCCTTCTGAATGAGGTTTGTTTTTAGACTTGAATCAAATTTATCTCCATTATGTACATGCAAATATCCCAAAATTTGAAGTACTGAACACTTCTGGTCCCAAACATTTCAGGTACTTAACATGTGCCTGTATTTGTAAATACATATACATTGAGATATTTTGGAGATGGAACCCAAGTTGAAATACAAAATGCATTTATGTATATTTGGTGTATACTTTATACACACACCTTGAAGTTAATATTATACAAAATATTTTAATAATTTTGTGAATGAAACAAAGGTATCACTATCTTAGTCACCCATGTGAATAATTTTGGATTGTGGTGCATTCTGGATGTTTAGATAAGAGATGGCCAACCTCTAATAGTAAGACTCCAGAATTTCCCAGCCTGTATGGCCACTGGATTCTAGAAGTGAGTGAATACGGTTAGACTTTAACATCTCGGATTCAACCATCAATGGTTTGAAGTTTAAAAAATCCAAAAAGCAAACCTTGATTTTGTCATTTTATATAAAAGGCACCATTTTACTATCTCGCTGTATATAATGGGACTTGGAGACCAAACTACAATGAACACCAAGGAACCACTGTATGTATATAATGAAGTAAGAGTACGAGTGGTGTAGTGCTTTGAGCACAGGATTCAATGCCTGCAGGTTAGAGTTCAAATCTACACTCCGCTCTGTAAACTTCCTGGGGGACTTTTGACAATTTGCATTCACTAAGGTCCCTTCCACGCAGCTGAATAAAATCCCACATTATCTGCTTTGAACTGGGATATATGGCACTGTGGACTCAGATATTCCAGTTCAAAGCAGATATTGTAGGTTATTCTGCCTTGAAAATATGGGTTATATGGCTGGGTGCAAGGGCCCTATGTTTAAGGGCCCTTCCATATAGCCCTATATTCCAGAATATCAAGGTAGAAAATCCCACATTATCTGAATGTGGACTCAGATAACCCAGTTCAAAGCAGATAATGTGGGATTTTCTGCCTTGATATTCTGGGATAGAGGCCTGTGTGGAAGGGCCATTAGAGGAAAGATAAGAGAAGCCCATTTCTTAACAAATCTTCCCAAGAAACCCCTGTGATAGGTCCACCACAAGTCTAAAACAACTCAAAGGCAACCAACAACATGAGATATCCTGGAGAGGGGATACAAGTGTAAACATATTTGTTTATGTTTCACGTGCACCTTTCAACATCACCCAGAAGTAATTTTATACACCATATTTTAGAAATAACTTGTGCATGGAGCAAGGTTTGTGTAAATTAAAGCACCAGAAAATGTAAGTATTTATTTACTTCTTTACGATATTTCTACCCCGCCTTTCTCAAATCTGAAGATACTCAAGGCAACTTGACAACGTAGGCAACTATTCGATGCCCTTGAAACAATGTAAAAATCACAATAAACATTTAAAACAAAATTATAAAATACATACATTAAAACTGTTAAAAACATAAATAAAGGTGTTACCATGCCATTCCATTCCCATGAACAATTTTGGATTTGGCGGTATTTCAGGATTCCAGATAAGGGATGCCAAGCCAGAACTTTTTCAGGCAGTACTTGTTTTTTGGTACCTTACTAGACTGAAAATGTAACAAGCTGTGTTTGTTCTTTGCCCCTCCCTTGTTGTGCTGCTTTTCTTTTATGGAGTTCAATTTGCACAACACATACTTCAATGTAGGCATGGGAAAGCAGAGAAGGAAACTCCAGATGACTCTCTGGCTGCATCTTCTACACAGTAGAACAGGGGTCCTCAAACTTTTTAAACAGAGGGCCAGGTCACAGTCCCTCAAACTGTTGGAGGGCCGGATTATAATTTGAAAAAAAATATATGAATGAAATATATGCACACTGCACATATCTTATTTGTAGTGCAAAAAACACTTTAAAACAGCACAATAATTAAAATGAACAATTTTAATAAATATAAACTTATTAGTATTTCAATGGGAAGTGTGGGCCTGCTTTTGGCTGATGAGATAGGATTGTTGTTTTTGTTGTGTGCTTTCCAGTCGTTTCAGACTTAGGTTGACCCATGTATAAATATGTGAAAGGAAGCCATAGGGAGGAGGGAACAAGCTTGTTTTCTGCTTCCCTGGAGACTAGGACGCGAAACAATGGCTTCAAACTACAAGAGAGGAGATTCCATCTGAACATGAGGAAGAACTTCCTGACTGTGAGAGCTGTTCAGCAGTGGAACTCTCTGCCCCGGAGTGTGGTGGAGGCTCCTTCTTTGGAAGCTTTTAAACAGAGGCTGGATGGCCATCTGTCAGGGGTGATTTGAATGCATTATTCCTGCTGCTTGGCAGGGGGTTGGACTGGATGGCCCATGAGGTCTCTTCCAACTCTATGATTCTATGATTCAAATCACCTCGGGTAAATCACCTTGGATGGCCATATCCAACCCCGGGCCTTAGTTTGAGGATCCCTCCTGTAGAATGAATGCAGTTTGACACCACGTTAACTGCAATGGCTGATGGCTATTGAATCCTGGCAGCTGTTGTATAGAGTCACCATGTAAAGCCAAAGGCCTTGCAGAGCTACAACCCCAAGGATTCCATAGCATTGAGCCATGGGAGTTAAAAGTGGTGTCAAACTGAATTCATTCTACAGTAGGCCTGGGCCAACTTGGGCCCTCCCTCCAGGTGTTTTGGACTTCAACTCCCACCATTCCTAACAGCCTCAGGCCCTTTCCTTTTCCCTCTCAGCCGCTTAAGCGGCTGAGAGGGAAAAGGAAGGGGCCTGAGGCTGTTAGGAATGGTGGGAGTTGAAGTCCAAAACACCTGGAGGGAGGGCCCAAGTTCGCCCAGGCCTGTTCTACAGTGTAGGCCCCTTTTGAGGAAAGCAAGAAGGTTCATGAGAAGACCCAAGAGCTCCTTCCTTCCTTCCTTCCTTCCAGCGCGGAGCCCAATCCTTCTCTAAAGCCAGGCCTCGGAAGCCGCCTCGGAGAGCGAGAAGCCGTACCTACAAAACCAAAACCACAGACGCCCCCTGCCCTTCCCTCCCGTGTTCCTCTCTTTGGCCCTTTGCTTACCATGGTTACGCGCCGCCGCGAGCCACATCAGACATCCGGCAGCCAAGGGGCGGGGCACGGAAGACACGGGAGCGGTCCGCCTCGGCTGCTGATTGGTCGAAGGAAACGGCGGCCCGCGATTGGCGCCAGCGAAGACGGATACCGGCGCTCTGATTGGAGGAGATTCAGAACGTAGGCGGGGCTGCTCCTTGGGGCAACGGAACGGAGGCGGGAGGAGAAGCCGGAAGTGGAACTTTCAGTCCATTGTGAGGTAGGAGAGGGGGAAGTTGTGTGTGTTTGTTAGGTAGTGGGGTTCCTATATCCCTCTCGCCATTCTAATGAAGGGAAGACTAAAAGGCAAGGGGTTTCTTGTCAAAGAGGAGGAAAATTATTTGAAAATGCTCTTGTTTTCGTTCCAAGGCTGAGCGAGGCTTTTCAAAGCTATGCCCTCCTCATTTCTCTTATCGCCTGTTTTGAGATTGGGAAAGTTACTTTCTTGGATTGCCAACTCCTAGGGTGTATCTACACTATATTTAATGTAGTTTGGCACCACTTTAACTGCCAGGGCTCAGTGTTATGGAATCCAGGAAGTTGTGGTTTTACAAAGCCTTCTCTGCCAAAGAGTGATGGTGCCCACCCAAACTCCAAATCCCAGGATTCCATAGCATTAATTCATGGCAGTTAACATAGTCTCAAACTTGCGTGACCACATCTCCGTATACAAACCCACACGATCTCTCTGATCATCTGGAGAGGCCCTGCTCACGATCCCACCTGCGTCACAAGCGCGTTTGGTGGGGACGAGGGACAGGGCATTCTCTGTGGTGGCCTCCCGACTCTGGAACTCTCTCCCCAAGGACATCAGACAAGCTCCAACATTGGCAGTCTTAAGGAAGAGCTTGAAGACGTGGCTGTTCCAGTGTGCCTTCCCAGAATGGGAAACTCCTAGCATCATGTCCCAAATGCACTTTACTAGAAAACCTATCCATTTCACCTGTCATGTCCAGCATTTTTTAAATTTTATTCATTACATTTGGCCCAGCCTCAGTTTTTAAATGCCTTGTGGTGTTACTGTCTAATGCTTATTGTTATTGTTTTAATGTTTATTGCTTTGCTTTATGAGTTTATTTATTGTTGTATTTGTTATGCTGTTGTTTTATTGATGTGTTGGGCCTCTTGTAAGCCGCACTGAGTCCTTTGGGAGATGTTAGCGGGGTATAAATAAAGTTAATAAATAAATAAATAAACTTGTCTCCTGCATATGTCATCAGTTGGACTCCTCTCCCCAGCACCAACTGCCACTCTGCATATGTCTCCTGCATATGTCATCAGTTGGACTCCTCTCCCCAGCACCAACTGCCACTCTGGGCTAGAGTAAAGAGAGAGGGGGGCAGAAGACAGTTCCACCTTGTTTCCTGTGTTATGCTAATAATATAATGTAGTATAATATATTGTGTATACATATAATATTTCTAATCTTACAATGTAATGCAATATAACACTAATAATAATATGATATTATAATTATATTTATAGCAAAGGTAAAGATTTTCCCCTGACATTAAGTCCAGTCATGTCTGACTCTGGGGTGTGGTGCTCATCTCCATTTCTAAGCCGAAGAGCCGCCATTGTCCATAGCCACCTCCAAGGTCATGTGGCCGGCATGACTGCATGGAGTACCGTTATCTTCCCGCCAGAGCGGTACCTATTGCTCTACTCACATTTGCATGTTTTTGAACTGCTAGGTTGGCAGAAGCTAGAACTGACAGCGGAAGCTCACACCGCTCGCCGGAATCGAACCTGCGACCTTTCGGTCAATAAGTTCAGCAGCTCAGTGCTTTAACCCACTGCGCCACCGGGGGTTCCTTAAATAGGAGTCATGACTCAGCAGGGATATATATTTATATTACATGTAATATTACTAATAATATTACAAAATAATTGTATAGTACAATATAGTAATATTTAATACTTTTTTTTTGTCATGTCAGGAGCAATCGCTCCTGTTGTGAGAGAATTGGCCGTCTGCAAGGACGTTGCCCAGGGGACGCCTGGATGATTTTTGATGTTTTATCATCCTTGTGGGAGGCTTCTCTCATGTCCCCGCATGAGGAACTGGAGCTGATAGAGGGAGCTCATCCGCCTCTCCCCGGATTCGAACCTGTGACCTGTCGGTCTTCAGTCCTGCCGGCACAGTGCTTTAACCCAATGCGCCACTGGGGGCTCCTATATTTAATACTGATATTGTACTATGCTAATAAAATAATATAATGCATGCATATATATATAGTAAGCTGCTCTGAGTCCCCTTCGGGGTGAGAAGGGTTGCATATAAATGTCGTAAATAAACAAACTGCATTAACTCAACAATGTAGATGTACCACTAGACCACTGGTTCTCAAAACATCTCCAGATGCCGGCAGAGGAGTTTGGGGTGGGGGGGTAGCAGTTTCCAGCAGCTCGTCCTGCCTCTCTCAGTCACTGAAGATGAGCCTTCGGCAGCTGTAAACACTCCCCAGTGATCTGGGCAAACTTCTCTAGAGCAGTGATTCTCAACCTGTGGGTCCCCAGGTGTTTTGGCCTACAACTCTCAGAAATCCCTGCCAGTTTTCCAGCTGTTAGGATTTCTGGGAGTAGAAGGCCAAAACATCTGGGGACCCACAAATGTTCCCCTAGACCAGGCATGTTAAACTTGGGCCCTCCAGGTGTTTTGGACTTCAGCTCCCACAGTTCCTAACAGCCTCTGGCCCTTTCCTTTCCCCCCTCAGCCGCTTAAGCTAAAAGGAAGGGGCTTGAGGCTGTTAGGAATTGTGGGAGTTGAAGTCCAAAACACCTGGAGGGCCCCAAGTTTGCCTATGCCTGCCTCAGACTCTCAGTCAGAGGCCATACATGTTCCGGGAGTTCTAAGGCTCATCAACCCAGCAGAAACAATGCTATGGCTCACAGCTATACATTTCTAGGATTTGTAGTTTGGTGTCAAACTAAATTAATTCTACAAGATACACCCTTATTCTCTTTGAGGGCCAAAGAAATAAAATGCTATAGGTCATGCCATAGTTTTGTTTTGCAGTGGTCCTTGCATTAAAGTGCTCCTGACAATTCTCATTCATTTATGGCAACTGAAATGCTTGGGACCAGAAGTGTTTTGGATTTCAACACACCTGCATTTGTATATATGTGCCTAATAAGGTATTTTGGGAGATGGGACCCAAGTAAACACGAAATTCATTTATGTTTCAGATACACCTCGGCGACATTGCCTCACAGTAATTTAATGCAATATTTTAATCAATTTTGTGCACAAAGTAAAGTTTGTGTGATTATCAGAAAGCAAGGCAATACTATCTCAGCCACCCATGTGGGAAATTTTGGAGTATTCCAGGTTTCCGGGTTAGACATCCCAACCCATAGTTTCATCCATTATTATTATTATTATTTACACACCGCTTTATCTCTCCTGAAGGAGACTTAAAGTAGCTTACATTAAAAGTATGACCACATAATTTAAAATATACAAATATGTGAACATTGAAACAGAATTAAACATAACAGTATTTAAAATCGTTGTTCCCACTGCCCAGTAAGTTAATCGTGCTGTTTTATTCCAGAAAAGCTTTTCGATACTCTGTTGGTAGACCTAAGTATTTGCTACACAGTTTTCACATTACATGTCCATAGGATTTGCTAGTTCTGCCCCAAAAGAAATAGCAGTCATCAACAGCATGCAATAGTAAAAACATTCAGCATCATTTTGCTCATCCAGATTAATCTTAGACCACTAAACTTGGGCTTCTGGTTTATTGGGAAAATTTCTCTCCTTCTCAGTGTTCACATAAATTAATCAAATCACGTTAAACACCGCAAAACTTTTCCAGAAGTAACTCTCTGATTTTAGCAAGTCTTCATATATGCTTTGATGGCTTATTGCAGCCTGTTGATTGTTTAGTTGCTCATCCTGAAGGAATTTGTGAACAGGAGATTTGTGTTTTCCCCCATCCAGACCAACATATGGTAAATATCTGCTTTTGCTATCAGTTTAAGGAAGATATTCTCGCTTCTACCAAACTGAAACCTATTTCCCCTGAGCACAGCACAGAAATAAAATGATAGGTATCTGAAAGGGCATCCTTTGTGGACTACTTCTGTCTGTTTATTTTCCTTATTGGCTTAATATATTGAAGTCCTGCGCGTATTCTAGCAATTTTTAGATAGTGTCCATCAGTAATCTAATTCATATCACCCAATAGTTCACAAATGGAAACTGGATGTAGTCAAGCAACATCACAGTATGGTCAAGATGGCAAATGTTATGGTATTAATGAGGAAGAACAAACAAGCTAGAAGAGGCTATAGAAGTTTGCTTTTCCCTAACCCTATTGGAAAAAGCAGGATTTAGCCTCCACTTCTCCCCAATGAAAGGGGGAAACTGCAAATACAAACACACACACATACACACCGTTCCAAGAGAACACCTCTCTAGAGCTGGCTCTACACTGCCCTATATCCAAGGATATGTTCCCAGACTATCAGATTATCTCCGATTATCTGCCAGTATAGACTCATAATCCAGTTCAAAGCAGACAACCTGGGATCAGATCCTTTAGGTCCTCCACTGTGATCTTAAGATCAAATTCCAATAGAGTCATTGTGGAGGACCTCTAAATGCCTAATCCTTTCTCTAGGAATCTCTCAGTCCTCCAGTGCATTTTTATAAACATCAGCTAGACATTGACCATAAAGTTGCACTGGAGGATCTAGGCCCCTTCTACACTACCATGTAATCCAGATTATCAAAGCAGATCATCCACATTATTTGCTTTTAACTGGGTTATCTGAGACTACATTGCCCTATAATCCTGTTCAAAGCAGATAATCTGGATTTTATATTGCAGTGTAGAAGGAGCCCTTTCAAAAGGGAATATACTAATTAAATCTGCAGATAGTCAAATTCATAAAAGTGAAATCTACGGTGTGGAGAACCAACTTTAAACTGTTTTTGTACTTTGAAATCAATAATCTGAGGACAAGGGAAGAGAGGAAAAGGGGGAGAGAAATCAATCCATTTTCAAAGCAGCTGAAAAAGGAAAGAAAGGATTGATCTTGACTGTTTCTCCCAAATCAGAAAATTGGTGCATATGTTAGTTATATGAGAAGGAGTTACTCTGAATATAGTTATCCACTGATGTAGCTAAAATGAAATTTGATCCTGATATGTATGGTAAGGTGTTGGGTATTCATCTTTTCTTACAGTGGTTGAAGAACCTTTCAGACATACTGTAATTTTTGGCAATATCCCAATGTCCATTGTGTTTTATAATGTTTCATGATAGTTGTGGCTGAATATGAAGGAATTCTTATTCTTAAGGGAAAAGATGGGGTATAAATAAAGCAAGTGTTTTATTTTGCAATTTTTGCAAATTAAGTTATTGATTTGGTATGCTACTTCTCAACTGTATGTTTCTTTTGTTAAATGATCACTTTCCTTTTCTAAGAACAATAACTTTCTTAGTTGCAATCATTTAGAACTCATGAGATGCATGAAGATGATAGACCTGAGATTAGTGTATTAATCCCTGCTTTGCTTCTGTTTTCATTGCATTTCCTTCATATTGCAAGAGTTATAATCAAATCAAGTTTGCAAACAGAAGCCAGCTTGAATGTTTAATGACAGCTAGTTAAAATGATCCAGGAATCCTGTGCAGTTGTGAGGATAAAGGCCAAATTAAATCCCATCCAAAACACAGAGGAATAAAGGTGGCAGGAAATTAATTATGAATCCTAGAGAAGTGTTGGCTTAAGTTGTCTTCAGTAGATCCAAATATTTATTTATTTATTTTGCTATGAAACACACCAGAGAATTGAGATTTATTGCCTCTTCCTTCGGGGAAAAATGTTCTGTAATGATCATAAATGTGTGTAAAAGTATTCTTTCAGGTCCATTATCTAATCTCAAAAATGAAAAATTGTATTTCCTCTATTGGAGGGGTAAAAAACCAAATGATCTGAAAGTATGAAATTTAGACATCCTCTGAGACATTCTGGCAAAAGAAAGCAGGAAACGAAGGAAATTCAGACCTGTGTTGGATTGTCTAGATCTTTCTTTACTGTAAAACACATTTATATGAACTTCAGTAAAATCTCTATAATCAAAACACTGGTTGCAATCCTAGCAATTTTTAGACATATCCTTTAAGCCATGCTAATTTGAAGTGATAGCAATTTGAACAGAAGACCTGGAACCAAACATAAGCAGATACCAAGGGCTCACTGTATTAGGGACAAAAAGTACTATACCCTAATTCAAAATGCAATAGATGAATTGGGACAGTTTTTGTTGCAGCTATTTTTCTCCCTTAAATAAAACACTGCCCTGCATGTGTCAGATGTTTGAAACCCAAAGGTGTATTTTGCGATTCTTAAGGTGACAGCAGGCATGTAGCCGGGGGGGGGGTGTATTGAGGGGCTTCAGCCCACCCCCCCCCGAAATTCTCATGGTGGTTCGCGAAAAGGCCTTACTGGTGCATTATTTAAACTGTTATGTTTATTCATATCATGATCTGATCACCATACTCAATATATCCCATATGCATGGGGGTATTGGGGTAATGATACAAAAGGTTTGCTAGGCTAGAGCCTCTTTCACTCAGACTCAGCCTCCCCCCCCGAAACTCAGCCCCGAAACCCCCCCTGAAAAAAATTTCCCCCCCCCCCCGAAACGAAATTCTGGCTACGGGCCTGGGTGACAGTGTGCTAAAATGCCTACTTCATGGATCTAATTATGTGTGGATTTTCAAGCAAACTTAATGACCCATCAGCTCAGATGGATATTTCTAAGAACAACAACTTTCTTAGTTGCAGTCATTTAGAACTCATGTGATGCATGAAGATGATAGACCTGAGATTAGTGTATTAATTCCTGATTTGCTTCTGTTTTCATTGCATTTCCTTCATATTGCAAGAGTTATAATCAAATCAAGTTTGCAAACAGAAGCCAGCTGGAAAGTTTAATATTACCTCTTAATTGGCATCTCTCGTGGTCCTCTGTCAAGTATTGTGTTTGCTTCCTGGCCTTCTGGAGCACACAGAAGCCAATAGCTGCTCTGGCACGCAAGATGGGCAATGCTGATGCAAGTGCACATCTTGATTTTCACACTGACACAATTTTTTGCTACGTGGTAAGGCTGGCTAGGACCCATGTGCCATGTGGACGGAATTGGTTCGTAAATGTTGCTGTAACCCCCACCCCCGGCTTTAGGTCTGCATGTTCCAAAAACTTAATGGCTGAGATTTGCAACACCTGCTGCTGAAACCTTTTTCACCCAGGCTTTCTCAAAAGTCAGCCATGGAAGCCAAAAATGAAAGGCGAACTTGAAATATCAATGATACTCTGTGGAGCAGTCAAAAAAATTTTAAGACTTGGCTTCTGTATTGTGCCTGAGTGCTATCCAAAGCAGCATACAAAATCATTTTGTTAACTAGTTTTTAAACAACTGTCTTGTTTATTCATCTAGGCTGTGAGCTGTCATTGTTGAAAGAGCAGACTCCCAAGTAATTACATGCCAGCCAACAGCTGATTCTTCCCCAGAAGGAAGCATTGCCTAATAAAGATCATAGATGCCAAACACCAAAGACACAAAGTACTAAAGAGAAGCATCTCAATCGTCAACTGTCTGATGTTCTCAGTACAGCCAGTGATGTACAAATTTGGGGTGGAACTTAGTTCATTCCACCTGCAATTCAATCTTTGTTCTTTAGGAATTATATGGTGAGGTGTTGATATGTAATATGACTCTTTGTGACCTTGGGAGCAAAGCACTGACTCATCTATTGCTATAGTCAATCAGTTTTCCTAAAGCTTTTCTTTGTATTAACCAAGGAACAGTGAAACTGAATGGGTTAATTTTGCAGACATAGCTAATGTATTAAGACTCGCAGAAGCAGCATTATTAAATCTTTAAAAGCAAACAATTTAACTATCTTCAAAATGAAGTGGTGTTGGCAAATTCTTGACTTCACCAATTTGATTTAATTAAATAATAATATTGATAATATACAAGAAAAATCCTCACAGACATCATCCAACCAGCTTCCATATCAGAAACTTTCAAAAGCTTTGTTTGAAATCTTGTAAAGCATTTCAAATATTTTCTCAAAAGAAATTACATTTTAGCAAATTTAGTGTGATGTTTGTTTAAAGGTTTTCATAGGAATTCACAATAGTGCATTTGGATGTAATCTGTGTGGGTAGCTTTGAAATATATTTCTTCCTGGCTCAAATATAGATAGTGCTTTCGCCCTGTAATTTTTCAGCCGAATTTGGAAAAATGATTTGACATCGAAGGATAAAGTATGTGACAACTGTATTTCTGCAGAGTTCTGCAAATACCTCAAATGTAGGGATAAATTTGTTATTTTGGTTGTGGGAAGCTTGTATCTCTGTCTTGCTCAGGTCCACTGTTGCATTATGTTATATTAGACTTTTCTAAACACCTTTAAGCCTTCTGCATATCAATAATGTATCAACATGTTTCAGGACTGAGAAGTCTTCCTGCTCTGAGTTATCGATTCACTCAGGCTAAACCACAGGAGACTCAAAAACCACCAGCATGACTGTATACCATTCTGCAAATTTGCATACTCTTTTGTATATCTCCCCCCCCTTTTTTTCTGTTTTTTTCTCTTTCTTTTTTGTTTTTTACTTATTTCGGTTTTTCTTTGGTGTCGGTTTTGTTTTTTGTATGCAAACCAATAAAAAATTTTTTAAAAAAAACCCACCAGCATCTTCGTGCAAATTGAGGCTTCCAGTATAATGACCTTATCAGACAGGGGAACACCCCGTGCCAATTTGGCAGCAAGTGTGGTGAAATGGCAGGCTTGAGGGCAACAGTTCTCCTATCACATAGGGGGAGCATTGCCCAAACAAGTGTGTTGGCTGCATTGGAGGCAGAACAACATGGGAAGGCTCCTGTGTTTGAGGGGAAAGCAGCCAAGGATATTTCCACCTCGTTTGGAGGTGGGGCCTCTGCTGAAAGCCACACCATTGTGTGCTGGCCAGCGTGGAGTTCCGTCCCTGAAGAAGGCTCGATGTGTCCTAGAGCACTTGTTTTGGTAACTGTGATGAGGTGGTAAATCAGAGCGTTCTTGCTCTTAATGATTGCAGGGTTAGTGAAAATACCAAATTTCCATTTGCCTTGAGCCTTGGAATGCTCTGATAATGATATCCTTGGACCCTCTGTTAGAGCTAAAATGTACTGGGCAGTGAATACTTGCTTGTTCTCGGATGGTCTTGCCAAAAGTCCTTCCCTCCCAATCTTCTATTTTACTTTGGTAAATTTAAAGATAATCTTATTTATTACATAAATAATGTGTAATCATGAAAACATCTTTAAACCTTTGCTTTGATTATTTCAGGAATTCATTCAGGAGTCCAGGGTGGAATGTTTATTTTCATTGTAGTTTGAATATCTTTTTCCAGTCATGATTGTGATGTCTGATTCATGGGCTGAATCCAGTTATTACCACAAACTGAAATTAAACCAATTGAAAGTATGAGACTGTTAATTTCAACAATTATAAAAGTTCAATTCATTCAATTGATCTGTTGTGTTTGAAAAGGGATTTAACCTTATTCCTTCAGTATTATTTTAAATGAATTGTTCCCTACTTCTTTATGTGTTTTATAATGCAGCTGTTTTATAACATTTTCAGCAGAACCTCAGTGTCTTTAAAGAAGGGAAATCTTTTTGGACCCAGATCCAGCCATGCGTATGAGCAGCTTGTATATTGCTAATGTTTACATTGGAGAAGTACATATTATGAATCAGTGGGGTTTTTTTTACCTCCTTTGGTAATTCAAGGAAATTATTTTTAGATTTTTTTCCTTTCAGTTTCTATCAGTTCTGTGTAACTTTTTCTTTTTGAATATAAAACATGCTGTTTTAGATTATAAAGGAGATGCAGATTTTGTTTAGTATATCAGCTATGAAAGTTATGTGGGAAAATAAAGTTTGCAAGTTATTTTGTCTCATTTTAAAATACAGGTTCCATATCTATATTAATTTATGGAATTGTGCAGTTCTGTAGCTTGCCAGTGTTATATTTCGAATGTCTAGCCTTTTCTTTGAACTTGGAATATATTAAATAGTATTCTCCCTATCCCCATCCATTTTTCATTACAGCTGACTAGAATGAAATGGAGAAGAAAGTGAGAAGAATCTATCCTCTTTCTGATCCAGACACCACCTATTTTCTGCAAATAGCCTGGCAGAAAGATCTGGGCACCGGTTTCGATGTTATTCTCACCGATGGCCAATCAGCTTGGTCTGGGAAAGGTGATTTCCATTTATTACTATGTGTTTATTGTAGTTTATGTAGACAATTATATATACAAATTAAGACTTAGGGTTTCCTTAATGTTCTGGATGGAGTTACATTTCCCCCTGAAAAATTGTGCTCACAGCTTGGGAGCATTCCTGGATCCATCCCATCAAATGCCAGCTCAAATCCCTTCAAATGTCAGCTCAGTCAGGAGTACTAACTGCAAGTATTGGTTATAACATTTAAAGCCTTACATGGTTTGGATTTAGGTTAACCTACAGGATCACCACCTCCCATATAATCTACCCTGGACCCCAAAGTCCTCTGGGGATGTTTATTCCAATCAGACAGAACCTGACTGGGAACCATCACCTAGAGGATTTTTTAATCAGCCACCCAAGACTGTGGAATGACCTGCCAGAAGAGATTCGACAAGTAAATGAGCTGTCAGCATTTATTTATTTATTTACGGTATTTGTATCCTGTTCCTTCTCAGCCCCCAAAGAGAGACTCAGGACAGCTTACATTTGGCAGCAATTTGATGCCACTACATATAACACAGAAATATAATAACAATTAAAACAATAAGTAAAATATTCATTAAAACAGTAAAAAACAGTATTAATAGCTGTAACTGAAGACTATGTCTTCGAGCAGGCCTATCCAGTCACTTTTAAATGATGAATTTTAAATTTACATTCTATTTGTATTTTAATGTATGTATTTTATTGTATTTTAATCCTTCCACTGGGTGTATGTGTTTTAATGGCTGTATTCTATGGTATGTATTTTAACTTTGTTGTGCCCCGCCTTGAGGTGTGAGGAGAGGTGGACAACAAATACAATTTATTTGTTAAATTATATGAAGTAATATATCACACCGATCACTCTTCTGTATTTTGAAGAAAACTTGTAAACAGTGACAGTATTATATACTTGTAAAATTAAATAAATTTAATTGTATTTCATAACTATAGATAAAAATGTGTGTTTGGCAACTAATACTGATTATCAAATTGATATTCTTCTGAATTTTAATTCTAACAAAATTCCACTTTCTAGTGCCCAAAGAAGAGGTTTCTAAGGAGGCAACTGACATGGAAATGGAACAAGATAAATATGTTGAAGAACTTAGAAAAGTGTTTTTAACTGATGGAGTATCTACAGATACCTACAATTTTGATATTTCTAAAGAAGAGACAAATGGAGACAGCCTTCATTTTTTCTATGAAAAAAAATTAAGAGATCTATCTGTAAGTAATGCTGTTTCACCAATTGATTTCATGTGCAGTAGGGCATAAATTATCAGTAATAGAGATACTGCTGAGCTGTTTCTTAAACCCTGAAGAATTGTACAAAAGACAGATGCCTAATTCTCAAGACAGTGTTTCATTTTAAAAATCAAGATGAAGGGCAATTATGTGTATCTATATGTCTTCTAAAAATCTATTAATCTGTATACACTTTAATTTGATTTTTTTATTCTAAAACATTTTGAGTAGGGAGCTATCTTGTTCAACATAAACGTGTATTGACAGTTGTTATTGTCTGAAGTCTGAACAATGAAGATGGTATATTTGCTTTGACAAGGGAGTCAAAACAAAACAGAGTAAAATTAATAGGAGTAGCTGAAATAATAAAATATTTATGTAGTTATTTTCCTGGGAATTTAATATTTTGGAGTTAGCGGCATTTATTGATTTAGGCTTCAAACTCCTTAGACAATTGCATATCTTGTGTAATTTGAAACATGACAGGATTTGCCTGCATGTGGCTACCATTGGTTGTATACAAAAAATATTTGCCACAGGAGGCAAACTATGACTTGTTATTATCTGTAATGGGTTTCGGATTTGTGATAAACTTTTGCTTGAAATTTAGGGGAAAACATTTCTTCACTGCAGAAGGTTTAAAGTTTACCCCCTGAAGTTCTTTTTCTTCTCTTATCCTCTCCTTCCCTTCCTTCAACTTCCATTGAGGTATATAAATCTCTCTCTATGTGTGTATCTTCTCTTCCTCACAGATATCTGCAACTTTGTGTGAAAAAATGAATAGCTACACCAAACTATTGCATAAGCATGGGTTTAAAGAAAATAGTATTTTCTTTTTTAAAAGTTATATATGCAAATATTTTTTACAAAAAGATGAAAAGAAGTACACACCTCAGTAGCATGTGCTGTTTTACCTATAGAATAGTTGTTGCACCCAGGACTCTACAGTCTCGGCATGGTATTGTAGCTTAAAGTATTATGTAGCTATTGAAAGTACTTCTGTAGTGTTAGAACAGCTGTGCTAGAAGCACATGTCTGGAGTATTTTGCAGTAATTTGTAATTAAGTCCTCATTCTAGTAATAAAGGTATTACTGTTAGATTATGACTTTGATTTTACAATATCAATATATTTGCTCCTTTTGTGTAACTGTATAGTGTACTTAAGTGCATAAATCAATTGTGTATAAGGAATTTCACATGGCTCATCCTGTGTTGAGAAAAAAAAGATGGATGGGAACAGAGTGTGGCTACAGCATAAAGCTTGTAGCATGCACATAATTTAGAGCAGTGATTCTCAACCTGTGGGTCCTCAGATGTTTTGGCCTTCAACTCCCAGAAATCCAAACAGCTGGTAAACTGGCTAGGATTTCTGGGAGTTGTAGGCCAAAACACCTGGGACCCACAGGTTGAGAACCACTGATTTAGAGCAACTAAAAGTAAATAGTAATGTTTATGAAATGGAGAAACACAGTTAAAATTAAGTTATAATGGCAACTAAATAAAATATAGGATGTAGTATCTGTGAATACTGACTGGCTTTAACAAGGATATTATTGAATGTTTTGTGTGGTGTCATGTTTAAGTGCTGTCTTGTGTCCTACAAGTAGATAGAATGTTACTCTGCAGTATATTTGTCCTGTAGGCTTGTGCATTTCGGCTGAACCTCAGTCTGTTTCTGCTTGCCAGGTTCTGGTAGACCCCCATACCTGTTTTCTTGCACCTTCCGAAAACAGGCGGGTAGCCGGATAGTCTTTTTGATCCTCACCTGAAAAATATGGCTAGATCTTGCCCATTAGCGGCAATGGGGATCTTACAAGGCTCCCCTTTCTGTTCCTGACACCTTTTCCTTTCTTCCTGCAAGGGAGCCTGGGTTTCATAAACCTGTTTAAGAAAGCACCCTATCCAGCCAATTATGGGGGACAATGATGACGACTTCCCAGGCATCCCTTCCCATCATTTTAGTCATTGTTTGTCCTTATATCCTTCATTAAGACCTGGATTAAAACATCAGAGTTAAGATACCACTCTTTCTGCGATCCCTTCCTTTCTGTCTATAGAGGAGACCCGGTTTAATGCTTCCTTAAAGCTGTTTCTTTCTACTGTAGAGGAGACAGCACTACAGGTGTGTGCATAGGCTCTCTCCCTGCAAGCAGCTTTCCAAGGCATTTGAAAGAGGCTTCCCACTTCCCAGGGAAGAACAAGCAATCGACCTGGAGCTATCTCCCTGGGTTTGCTTTGAAAAGCTCTCTCTTTGCCCTGCCTGGAGTGGTGTCTTTTTCTTCCTCATGCCTTTCTGTGGGTTTAATTCTTCCTTAAAGCGGTTTCTATTTTCTACTCTAAAGGAGAGGTAAATAGGTGGTAGTAGTTTTCTGAGAATGAGGCTTTTCTTTTTGTTTGCTGGGATTACTATTATTATAAATTATTATTATCTTTTAGAAGTTTTTTTTTTCTGAAGAAGAGGGAAAGAAAAAAAGAAGCTAAAACGGTGACTCTCCAAGCCCCCAAATACACGCGCATATCACCCACCCAAAGTCTTGCACTTTCCCAACTCCCAGTCAGTCCCACTAAATAAAAAGTATCGAGAAAATAAAGGAAAATCAAAAAGATTGAAGAGAGAGGCCAAGTCAGAAGCCAAGCCAAAACATACACTGAAGCCAGCATGCAACAGTGATACCGAATAGGGGAGGAGAAAGAGTGATCCACTGCCATGTAGTCCTGTTACGGATGGGAATCCATGATGGCTGGGCCCTTGCCGTTATGGCCACCTGTATCAGCCAAAGAAGCCAGATTGGCTGAAGGAAAACGGCTAAAATGGATCCACGCACAAGTTATTGCCCCATATTACTGTCTTGTTTTTTTCCACCCCATTCAAATTGCATTTTTGCATGGATACTGTGATTGTTCTAGCTCATTGAACCATAAGTTTCAGAAAGTGATTTTCTAGGCACATAAGTCACAGTTGGAAGTTGTAAACTGCTTGTGAAGTTTGTGACACGAAATCTGCAATGCACGAATTATGATCAGACTGTAATTTAAAGTGCACATTATTTGAAATAAAATAAATTGTAAACTCAGTAGGTCATGCTTTCAATTAAATTAGTTTAAGAATTAGAAATCTGAGTAGTTACATTTATTTATCACATTTCTATCCTACCATGTGTTTCTTAGCTTCATAGAGCCTACTGATTTATCAAAGGCCACCCAGTGAGCTTCATGGGTGAGTGAGAATATAGATCCAGGAAATCTAGATGTGAATGGTGAGGCTGACACCCGTGTGCTCTGATTATGACAATAACCAGTGCCTTTATCTTTGCTTGTAAAGTGCTAACATTCTTTTTAAGAAGCATGTCTAATAGTAATGGGTTGTTAAAAATTAACTTGATAAGCATGTGGAAATATATCAAACAATATGGTTAGTTTTCATGACTATACCAGTCAAGAAGGTGTTCTGGGACATGTAACCCAGTACTTACCTCTCTTAAGCCTCTATTTGAAATTTTCAAGGAAAGTCAATTAATTGTTTCTGTCAAAACATATCCACAGCTGAACCAAAGAAAGCAAGATAATGGACTAAAATGAAGGGAAGGGAAGGAAAACAGACTGATACCTGGGAAACATTTTCACTTGGCAAAGTACGCCTGTCTTTGGAAATATTTGCTGAAGAAAATAGTTGTACTATACTACATGCTACTGTAACTAGACAAAGTATTGGAAAATCCCTTCTAATGAATAGTCCTTTATTGGCAATGAAATACAATTTATGGCATAATTATGTACTTTCCTGCATAGATATGTAGAATTCTTTGATTTGCAAGTCCATATATAGGGACATTAAAATTCTCCAAGCAGTTGTGTTCCAGTGAAGTACTAATTATAAAAGTTATCACACAAATTAGAATTGGACAAACTGGGGTTATGTAATCTAATCATACAATGTATTGTACTTCCCTTATAATGATGCAAATGCTCAGTAGCTACAGTTTGTGAAAGAAATAGATAAGATAATTTGAAAAGTTGAGCAGATTAAAAGGTTAGTAACTTGACAGTTGTTACATATTTTTGCAATGCCAGGGAGTCTAAAGGAACTATTAAGGTGAACTGCTGCTTTGTTGTGTTGTTCTCAGTCTGCCTTTCAAATTATTTATAAATTGTATTTAGTTTATGATATTTTTTGTACTTCTAACTTTTATTGTGTGTAAATGACAAACAAAAAAGCGAAAATAAAGCACAAATAGTACAGTAACTACCCGAAACTGTAAAATTACATCTTATTAAACTCTTCCCCTCCATGTTTGTTTTTTTACATGGCACTAGTTTCATTGCCAGTTAGTTTATGACTTGTGTCAGATGCTGCTATTAAGCTTTCAAATGCTCCCATTCAGGATGCACAAGAGAGCATTGTCTTCTTTATTGGATCCCCTGAGCCTTTGGATAGCATAATACAGATTCCATGTTAAGTTATATTATTTGTAGGTATATTAATAGGTACTGGAAACAAGTTTTCTTTTCTGAGATGGTCCCAGTATTGTGGTATTGTGGAATGCCCTTTCCTGTGAACCCTGGTTGGCTGTTTTATGTCTGTTTAAAATATTATTTTAAAATTTCCTGATATGATGACATTTTTCAAGCTATCTTATTCCTTTTAATTTTGAAATAATTTTAAAGTGTGTCTTGCATTGTTTGCTGGTTTAGGTTTCTCTTGTTGCTGTGTGCCTTCAAGTTGTTAATTACTTATGGTGATTTGAATGCAATATTCCTGCTTCTTGGCAGGGGGTTGGACTGGATGGCCCATGAGGTCTCTACTAACTCTTTGATTCTATGATTCTAGGATTCTATGACACTAAAATGAAACTATCATAGCGTTATTCTGGCAAATTTGTTCAGGGAGGATTTGGCTTTGCTTTCCTTTGACTGGGGAAACTAAGAGAGTGTCACTTGTCTAATTAGTAGATTTCTATGGTTGAACAATTATTTGAACTAT